AGCTGATGTATGACTCATAGCAACACCTTTCTCCAGAAGAAAGCTATTGATCTCAGACGACATGAACGATGAGCCTCTGTCGGAATGGATATAGGCTGGCATTCCGAACAGACAGAAGATTTGTGTGAGACAGTCAATCACAGTTGCCGAGGTCATATCCGCACACGCAAATGCAAATGGGAATCTAGAGAACTCGTCAATTATAGTGAGTAAGTAGCGGTTGCGTGTATTAGATGGCAAAGGACCTTTAAAATCCAAACTCAGACGTTCAAAAGGTTGTGTTGCTTTAATGAGTCTACCAGAGGATTTCCAAAATCTTGGCTTCAGTTCAGCACACACTTTGCAGGAGGAAATGACGCGCTTGACATCGTCGACGGAGTAGGGGAGATTCTTGCAACGCACAAAATGAAACATACGGGTAATGCCTGGATGGCAGAGGGAGTTATGGAGCTCTCCGAGTTGGTTATTGCTCCCCATGGAAGCACATACGTTTCGTGACAGAGTGTCGGCGACATGATTGTCCTTGCCAGGTCGGTATATGACATCATATTTGTACTCGGACAGCTCAATCCTCCATCGTTGTATCTTGTCGTTTTTCACTTTACCCTTCTGTCCACCGCCGTACATGAATGAGACTGAACGCTGATCGGTGATCAGTTTGAAGGGTCTTCCGAGTAGATAATGCCGCCATTTCCGGATGGATTCAACGATAGCGTAGGCCTCCTTCTCGATGGCAGAATGATTCTTCTCGCTCGGATTGAGTGTCCTCGAGAAAAAGGCTACCGGCCGACGGTTTTGGCTTAGGGACGCGGCTATAGCCACATCGGAGGCATCCGTTTCAACAACCAGAGGCTCGTTATAATCTATTGTGATTAGTGTAGCATTTTCTAGTTCGTTCTTTAGGTTGTCGAAGGTCAACTCGACGTCGGCAGGTAGGGGAAAAGTTTTATTCTTTACCAGTTTGTTGATTTTGTCGGAAAATGAGGATATCCAATGAGCATAATATGCAAACATACCGATGATACGTTGCATTTCCGTGGTAGTACGCGGAAGAGGTAACTGACGGATGGGTTCCATGCGTTCAGGGTCTGGTCTAATGACACCCTTTGAAACCTCATAACCTAGGAGGCGGATAACTTTTGAAGAAGTGACTGTTTTGTCATCATTAAGAGTGATCCCATACTTCCTCGTAGCTCTCAAAAACGACTGGAGATTGAGATCGTGTTCCTCTTGGGTCTTGCCACAAATAGTCACATTGTCTATGTAGGCATACGTGCTTTTCAGCTTTTCAGTCGTAATGATATTGTTAATAGTTCGCTGAAAACACGCAACACCGTTTGTGACACCGAAGGGTATGCGACGAAACTGAAACAGGCCACCACATGCTTCGAATGCTGTAAAAGGTTTGTCGGATGCCGAGATGGGGACTTGATGGTAAGCAGACAAGAGGTCTAATGTACTATAGACTTCGTAGTGCGAAATCTCCTCAATCATTTTGTCCAAGCGTGGCAGAGGGTAAGCGTCCAGATATGTGAACCGGTTGATAGTTTGGCTGTAGTCAACAACCATCCGGCGTTTGTGATTGATACCCTTAGTAATCAAAACCTGCGCTCTCCAGGGAGACGTTGACGGTTCGATGATGCCTTCTTGCAATAAGCGGTCAACTTCGGCGCGAATGAATTTTTCATCATCCGGATGATGCCTTCTTGATTTGGTTGCAACAGGCTTGCAATCTGGAGACAAGTTGGCGAAAAGTGATGGTGATTCAACGTTTACAGCCGTCAGGCCGCAGATGGTGAGCGCATCACGATCCCCGCCGAATGAAATTTCTACCTTGCCATGTAGACCTAGAAAGTCATGCCCGAGTAAAACGTCGGTGCAGAGGTTTGGCATTACAAAGAGCTTCAGTTCACTGTATGAGGTATCTCTGTATCGGACAGAAACACAAGCGTAACCAGTCGTTCGACAAGATAGGGATGTAGACGCCATTGTGACGACTGAGAAAGTTGGATAAATTTTCCAATTATGCAGTTTCACGACCTTAGCGTTAATGAAACTGCAAGAACTCCCTGTGTCGACCAGAGCACGGAGAGTGATGCCATTGACTTCGATAGTTGCGATGGCATGCGCCAGGCAGGTAGGAGCTGCTGCAACGAATAATGACGATAAAGTAGGCTTTGTTGTACAACTTGTGTGGAACTTGGAGGTATTTTTTGAACGGCACACGCGGCGGAAGTGACCGCGTTTACCACAAAGATTGCAGACGGCTTCGCGAGCGGGGCACTTTGGACGAGGATGTGCATCATAACCGCAGAAATAACATGTCTGAATGGATTTTACAGCAGCAGTGGTGGGATCAACACGCAGTTCGGGATTCTGTGAAATGGGTGGAATCGTAGAGCAAGATATGGGTTCGTTACTAACATATGACTGTGACTGTTTGTGAGCCAATTCGAGGGATCTAGCCAGCTGATATGTTTGGTCCAGAGTGAGTTCGCTTTGTGCTAGAAGCTTCTCGCGGATGGATGTGGACGCCAGGCCATTAATTATAGCATCACGCACGCACTCATCTTGATATTCAGTTGCAGACACAGATTTAAACTCACAGTCTTTGGCTAATGATTTCAGTTTTTGTACGAACTGATCGATATCTTGTCCACTCTCCTGTTTGTAGGTCTGTAGCAGGTAGCGTGCATATATGACATTTTTTGGACGGACATATAATTTCCGTAACGTGGCGATTGCAGATTCATAGTCGGTGTGATCAGCAATGTGATCGTATACTAATGGATCCACAAAGTGGATGAGAGTTTCAAGTTTGTCGGGTTTAGAAGATTCGACGGTTTTCAGATAGGTTTCGAAGGTACGAAACCAGTGATTCCAGCGTTTTGCTGCATCTGCGGAGTTTGGGTCAGCGTCGAAGAACCGAGGTCGTGGTTGCGGGTCCATTGTGTTCTTAGACAAGTAAATTGAGACGTTTAGAAAGAGTCCGAGAACGAGTTAGAACAGAGTCCAGGTTTTCGAGGATAAGCAACGTTTTACTTGTCTAAGAACAAGCGTACGTGAGCTGAAATGTACATACAAAAGTTCAGTACGAGTATAAATGGTAAGTATAGGAATAAGATGCCAGTTTGACTTCCATCGTGAAAAGTCTTTCGGAGTCACTGATTCTTCGTTATCTTACAAGACACGCGACAGTTCAGTACGAGTATAAATGGTAAGTATAGGAATAAGATGCCAGTTTGACTTCCATCGTGAAAAGTCTTTCGGAGTCACTGATTCTTCGTTATCTTACCATGACACGCGACCCCTTGACTTGTGAGCATCAAGCGGGATTTCCACTGAGTAAGGGTTGCGTCGACCACATCTTTACACTCCGTCATGTGTTAGAGCAACACGATGTGTACAGACGACCCACAGTCTTGACGCTTTTTGTAGATTTGCCAGTCGCTATCTAATTTTGATCCACGGGATATTCCCCGGAATTTTGTGAACATGATCCAGTTCTCATACTCACACATTTCTGAGCGTGCGGGAATGTAAGATGAGGTCTATAGAAGTCTCGTTGGAAAAGGGGTATCCGGTTGGAATGTCCCTTCTCCATGTCCAACTTCATCATTGATGGAACAATAAGGTGAACACTGGGAAGTTCCCAAAACCGAGGTGGCTCAGTGGTTAGAGTGCGAATTTACTGACCGGAAGCTCCGTGGTTCGAACCCGACCTCTACCTCGACTTCCCCTCTCTACGCTTGGGCATCGTGGAAGTGTCCCAGCCCTCGTGCTTCCGTCGGGTTGCATGGCAGCTAAGCAGCGAAAGCGTGCTACAGCTGAACGATTATTATCCCCAAAGCCCCGATGTTCAAATCGTTGTTGATGAGAACATTGTCCATCTGGAGTATGCAGACCACATCGTTTCTATCTCGGAAGGCGGAGGTCAAGCACTGTTGCATATTTATTTATTTATTATTAATGTTGCATAAATTCAGCTGAATGAGCGGACCACTATTTGGGAATGCGCTTTGGCGAGATGGCTCATTGTTTAGAGCGGGAGTTTACTGATAGAAAGATCCGTGATTGCAAATCGACCTCTGCCTCTCGACTTCCCCTGTCTAGGCTTTGGCAACTGGGCAGTATCCCAGCCCTCTTTTTCCTACTGGTGGCGTGGCACTTAGGCACCGAAATGGTGCTACAGATGAACCATGGTTTGGCCAATCAGGGTTGGCCTTCTCGTTCGTCGCTGGTCCTCCCCAACTCCGGCCAATCCCCTAGATGTTCCGTTATTGCAGGCAGCCGACCTCTGGACACCACATACGTCTGCCCATCTTGTTACTTAGCCCATCCTAGCCATAGTCATCCTAGAACTCAGGCTAGCCGAGTACTAATAAGCTTTCGCTGACCTTCCTGTTCCTAAAACTTCCGAAACGTATGTACAGACCCAGCTCGTCTTAGGGTTTGTCCCGTTCTGGTATTTGTCTGCATGCGGTGAAGAGGAACAGCATTCAACATTCACTGCATTCAAGGGGCCGAGATCACGAAAGTCTGTCAGCACTAAATGTCAGGATCACTCACTCAGAACGAATGGTTCGGATTCTAAAATGCTGGGAATTCAAATTCCAGATCGAAGCATTCGAAAACATAGTCGAGGCTGACATAAGGGTGGATGTCACAGCAGACCATGTTCCCGATGGAGACCAGTAAGGAAATCTTATCTGGTTAATCGTACGTCGCAGCGAGAAAGCCTGTGGACCAGACCTGGCCATCGTTTACTTATGGAGGGAAGTGGTAGGGAATTAAGGTCCATTCAAACTGTGTTCTAACTTATCTGGACTTTGGTACAACGAAACTGCCAGTCAGCAAAAAATCACAGAAGAAGACGGCTATAAAATTTGTGAGGAAAGGGTCTTGATTCGTCTGTATGGTGTGTTCGTTGATATTGAGTGTTAATTGTAATCGACCATACCTGAGCGAATGTAATCCCAGTTATTTGACGTCTCTTTTCAAGCTGATTGTGACTACCTCTGAGCTGGATTGGCCGCTTTTGACCCTGAATTACTTATGGAGAAAAAGCTGAAAAAACACACTCACAGAAGTGATGGGAAATGTTGCCAGCCGGAGTTAATTGAAACCCTGAGTACGGCACTCAAGAATTGGAAGACAACAGAAGCAACAGATTCTTCAAAGAAGTCTGCCAAACCCGTAAACAGTGGTGATGGGGTGGCGAGGAACATAGAAAAGCACATTCTCCATGGGAGCGCGGGGGTCATTCCTCCAGGATGTGAAGCCCCGGGAGGTGGCCTAGCGTACCCGAAGGAATCGAAGTTTGTTTTCCATTACCGAATACGCAAAGTGGATGACGATCACACGGTCCTAGATGATACGCGAAAATACGGCAAGTCGATGGAACTTTATTCTGGTAAAGAATTCCAGTTAGACGTAAGTCTGTACAGATAATTTTATCCCCTCAGTTTCGAAAAAAGGCTCTGTTTTCGTCCTGTATGACAGAAAGATTCGTCGTCCGATGTCAACGCCGTGTACTCTGCAACCGTTAGAAGTACAGTCTCCATAGTATATCATAAGAGCACATAGAGTAATCCCAGTTATCATTGTAATAGGAACTCCTGAACAGTCTACTACCGGTTACACTGCCTCTATGACTCATTGTTGTGGTTCATCCTTTGATATACATCAATCTCCAGGTGATAGGCGACTGGTGGACTTATGTCACTCGAAATTCGTCTGATTTTCCATTTATGATACAATACAAACTTGTTCTGGTCACTGCATTTTGCAGCATATGAGGCCCAAACAAAGTTTGCTAGGTTCATCACAATCAGTCCTTTTCTCCGGTCTTGTTCATCACCCGCAACCTACGCTCCTTATCATTTTTCTCCTATTTAAGCCCTGTCTACGGACATCCGCTTACCATCCGATCCGTACACATCTGGCTTTCAGTTAGTTTAGGAAAGCTTACACTTCACTTATATTAATAAACACTATTTGTCATCATATTGGTGGAACTTGCGGCCCTGAACTCCCCCTCTTGAATTTGCCTGCAAACATATTCTCCATATCCCTTGACTATTCCTTTTGTCCAATCACGCTTTTATTGTGTCTTCTCTGGTGTCAGGACCCCCTGATCATAGCCTTGGTACTTATTCACACTTCTGCTCATTTAACCTACCCCACCCCCTATTACGGCGTACTTTTTGGTGATACTTCTACACCGACTAAGAATCTAGGCACCTATATTTTCTGTCCCCGGGGATGTCTCTCAGATGATTGATCTACTTTCGTCGAACATATTACTGAAGCACTCGTATCAGGTTTCCCCCACATTCTCCGAACACGAATTATTTTCCTTTGAGTGGCTTAATCTTACTTTGTCTACAACAGAATCTCCGAAATAAGTTCTGCGATCCGTTTTAAAAGTTTTTTTTTGAGGACTGTATACAGGTAAGGAGATCTGCTTGTCTTTTGGACAACTTTGCAATCACCATCATCATCGTCATCATCATCATTGTCAGCTGTAAAAACCGCATACTTATCGCCCACCGATAATTTGGGGAGGTGGGATAGGTAGCTGCCATTGGAGGCGAGCTGAGAAATTCGTACGTAAATACAGCACTGTCAAGTTGGGGAATTGGGAAGGAAGCTATGCATTGAAGGCAATAGCTTGGATGCACGAGCGCCATTGCGGGCGCGACTGGGCCATGTCTGCAATCGATGCTTTAAGTGGAACAACGATCGCTAATGACTGGAACTACCGACGTGATCCCATGACGTAATTTTGCCCTCAAAGCTGGAGGCCAGTTTCATTTGTATCGTCACAGAGTGCTTTTAGATAGATAGATAGATAGATAGATAGATAGATAGATAGATAGATAGATAGATAGATAGATAGATAGATAGATAGATAGATAGATAGATAGATAGATAGATAGATAGATAGATAGATAGATAGATAGATAGATAGATAGATAGATAGATAGATAGATAGATAGATAGATAGATAGATAGATAGATAGATAGATAGATAGATAGATAGATAGATAGATAGATAGATAGATAGATAGATAGATAGATAGATAGATAGATAGATAGATAGATAGATAGATAGATAGATAGATAGATAGATAGATAGATAGATAGATAGATAGATAGATAGATAGATAGATAGATAGATAGATAGATAGATAGATAGATAGATAGATAGATAGATAGATAGATAGATAGATAGATAGATAGATAGATAGATAGATAGATAGATAGATAGATAGATAGATAGATAGATAGATAGATAGATAGATAGATAGATAGATAGATAGATAGATAGATAGATAGATAGATAGATAGATAGATAGATAGATAGATAGATAGATAGATAGATAGATAGATAGATAGATAGATAGATAGATAGATAGATAGATAGATAGATAGATAGATAGATAGATAGATAGATAGATAGATAGATAGATAGATAGATAGATAGATAGATAGATA